CTGGACAGTACCAGGCACTTCTTAGCATTTAATAATTATTTAATAAGTGAATGCAAGAATAAATCCATATTGGTCAAATTTACCAAGTAATTGCCAGATTTCCAGATTTGGTTTAATGCTATATGCATCATTTTCTGGAAGGTGTACTACATGATGGTGGAGGGTGGTTTCTGGGATCATTGTGCATGGCCATGAATCCTGATTCTAACACTGGCTCTCTGTTTAGCCTTGGCAAGTTATTGAATATTTTTGTGCCTTACTTTTTTCATGAATATGGAGAACAAATCAACTATCTCATGGTTGAAAACTCATATAAAGTACTTAAAACATTTTAATATCCAGTTAGCCTTTAAAACTCACTAGTATTATCATTCTATCAATTTGTGAAAGAATGATATTACTTATGCATTCATTTTGTAAATGAAATAGAGTCATGACAATTATGTAGATATTAAAAAATATTTTGCCTCAATAATCTGAATCATTTAGTTCAAAGTATATTTTAAGCATACATTATTGGTATAATTTACTTTATGAAAATTAGTAAGACATTAATTTTATTTATTTGACAAACTCCATTTAAGTCAAACAGAGTGGTGTAATAATTTCAAAGGCTGAGCTCAGTTTTGAATTCTGCTCTGCCATTTACTAGGTCTGTGACCCTGAGAAAGTCAATTAAAAACTTTAAGCTTTGATTTCTTACATTTGTTACATGGGTAAAAATTAAATGTGTTAGTAGTTGAGTATTAAACACAGCACAGTGCCTGATGTATAACAGATCTCAATAAAAGGAAGGACAAATAATATTATTTTATGTATAAAATCTAGAGAACAGTGTTTGTGACAGGACTATATCAATTTATATAAAACTGAGCAAGAATTGAAAATGAAATTATATTTTCTTGACTACAAATTTAATCTTAAGCAAATAAATTAGAAATTCATATTTTGCAAGAAGTTATTTTAAAAAGAAAATTTAATATGAGAAATATTGATATATTTGACAGCAAATCACTTAGCATATGACTTCTTTTGTGTTGCTAGATATAAAACAGAGCCAACTAGTTCCTGTTTAAGAGATGCAGGTGTCTCTTTTGTAAATCAACACCTCAGAATTTCTTAAAGTTCAACATTTTACATACAATCCTCCTCCTCCTCCTCTATCCCCATTAATTTATATTTATGAAGGCACTAAGTAAGAAACACAAAACTCTTGTTTACACATATCTTCAAGGTAATTATTGTCTAAGAATGTGTTGTTAATATTTTGTAATATTGGCTGTGTTAGGCAGTCTTGTAAACCACTGCTAGCACCAAAGTGGGAGTGTTGGTTGCTGCACTTAGATGCGGTGGAAAAGATGCTAAATGCTTCTGCTCTTGTCAGATTATCTAACGAGTTTCCTGCAGCCAGCAAGCATCTTGGGTCATCCCAAAGTAGATCACAGAAATCAGGCTCCACCTTCTGAAGCTCCACTAAGCTTTTAAAGCCAGATCAGGACTGGAATACATGTGTCTGGAATTGCACCTGTCCAAGAGCCATGGAGCCTGAGAAGCCAGGACACTTTTTTTAGTGAGTGTAAAGAGTCTCAACATAGTCCCTAAATCCCAAATAGTTCCATATCAGAATTTAGGAATTGTAGTAAGGTAGCATCTTCAAACTCGCCTCTGTGAGTTGATGTTCAGGTTTTCCAAGTGCAGGGGAAATGATGGAGATAGGGTTGAGGATGAGAGTTTACAAGTTAATAGTTCATTGTTTTGCTTTAATTTGTAGGTGGAATATAAAGAGCCTCTACAAGTGTTAAAAATGCCGTTAAGCACTGCCAATATTAAAGGGATTCAAAATACAAATACTGCCTATATAAGAGATGTGGTGGTAGATTAGATAAAACACCCTTAAGGGGCCGGCCCAGTGGCGCACTGCTACAGTGCGCCGCTTGGGAGCGCAGTGGCGCTCCCGCCGAGGGTTCGGATCCCACATACAGACCGGCGCTCACTGGCTGAGCGAGGTGCAGGCCCAACACCGAGGGTTGCGATCCCGTTGCCGGTCACGAAAAAAAAAAAAAGACAAAAAAAAAAAAAACACCCTTAATAAATTGGGCATCTTTTTAAAATTCCCTGTTTAATGTACCTTAATACTAAGACACAGGTCAGCACAAATATCATTGTAAATCAACAATGTGATTCAAACCATCAGGGCTCTCACTAGCCTGTGGGACACCTTCGTATCCCAGTCCAGCTCCAGAGTACATGGTTTGGCCAAAGGGGCTCAGGCCTAGTCACCAACCCCCCTCCCCATTGATTCCCTTTTGCAGGGCACAACCTTCACATCAATGTGTGCTGACTTTGAAACTAGAATTTCAACACCTTCCATATGCCCAAACTGTACCATGCCCTTTATGCGCTTATACTTTATAAAGTCTATGATCATCATCTTGATATTCAAATGACAAATCTAGGGAGTGGCTGAGGAGGGATTTGACTCTGAACCTACTAATATCAGAATCAAATGTATTTTCTGTTAAAGCAAACTGCCTTCTACCTCTACCTCTTATTCATTAAAAAAAAAAAAAAAAAAAAAAAAAATTAAGGGTTTTAATCTCCATGGCAGTGCTGTAGGCTGTGTTCAAAGTGTGAAGGAGAGCAGCATGCCTTTTTGGACAACCTCAGATCTGAATTAAAGTTGCAAAGCTAAGAGTTTACCACTGTGCTCAATCTACTGTTGCAATTAGCAGGAGTTTTTTCACCCATTTTTGGGAAACATATTTGTGTCCAGTTTAGTCTATAATACTATTTTCACTATTTTTACAATGAGAAATGAGGTCTTCCCCTCTTTTTAGAAAATTATTTTCTCCCTCATAATGTCCATATGATAAAATTCATCCATTAAGCAACTTGTATTATTTACATAAAAATTTGTTTATTCATTGTAAGATGCAAACATTTATTAAAGGAAACACAATTTAAAAAGCTACAGAAAACAGCTGGTGATAAATGGCAGCCAAGAAAACACTAAACTTATCTACTAACAGATGATATTCAGGTTGCTCATGCAGCAAACTTTACTATCGGTGAGACCTGGGATTGAATTCTAGTTCCTTCACTTGTTTTCCATGTCACTTAAACTTCCTGAGACTCATTTTTTTCTCTGAACATGGAGTAATTGTTCCAGCCTCATCCCGATCATTATAAGGAACATGAATGAGCGACTTTATGTAAATGATCAGGCACACAGTGCCTTCTTTGTGCAGAGTGCACATTCAATAAATGTCATTTTTCTTTGGTGAGAGAATATAAAAGCTAGAAAGCATTGCAGAACAATAAAAATAACTCACAATTTAAATTTTTGACTCCGTGAATCTGTAGGAGACATCTCTATGTTGGGAGACAACAATGAGGGTGAAGAGTCTCCAACGCCTTCTGGGAGTTCACAAGACCCATCATGAGAAGGCAGTGACAGGGCATGGAATAAATGTGTGTGCTGGGGTGTATCGCTCAGAACCAAGCTACTGTCTTTCCTAGCAGTCTTCCAAAGACTCCAAAAGAGCAGGGCTGTATTATTCTATCTGAAGTATCTTGAGAAGCTATTCAGTGATGGTGTAGATGTGGCCAAAAGAGCTCAGGGTTTGAGTCAGTCATTTGTGTGAGCCTTTTGTTTATGAACTGTCCCAGGGGATCACAACTAACTAGACATGTGGCTGTTCTCCCCAAAGTCATTACCTTTATGCCTGAGTAGTATGTTAAAATGCTGAAGGAAGGAAGCTCCTGCTGAATTAATATTTTTTTCAGTCTATTTTTGCGAGTAAACTCATGCCTTCCTTTCCCACATCCTCACTAAAGTGACTTTGTTCACTGTAAACTTGTTATTCTAAAATTATGCTCCAAAGCAAGATGTATTTCCTTCCTTTTGCTAAAGACATGATTACTTAGCTATAGACAGATCCTTAAGGACAGCTAAATCATCATTTTTCCCCCCAAATGCAAGATTTTAAAATGTACTAAATTATTTGAGTAAACCATTTATAATTTTATTTTCTTTTTGCTTTTTGTGCATAGACCAAAATCACCAATTCAAAAGATTTTTTCCGTGTACAAACTATGCTTTAAGTTGGGCACTTCTGGAAGATGTTTTAACTTTCTGCATCCAGGAAAAAAAATTATTAAACAGCAAACTTACTGATGTTTAAGTACTAGGGTTTAAGTACTAAAGTCAATTTCCATTTGTTTATTCAACCCACAATGACATCTTTAAAAACACTTCCATTACTTTCTCCTAAGAATGCAATGTTTTTATGTCTGTATGGGTCCTTCTTATCCACTGAGGAGCAGTCATTGGAGGAACTGTGGAGTTGTTCACACACATAGTATTTTGTTTTTCTTCCTTTTATTTGATCCCTGTGTTTTCTGCGAAAATGATACACCAACCATTGATTTTGAGAAGTGGAAGCAATCTGGAATTCCTTTGTTGAGGGAATTTTTTTTCTGCTATTATTTGGTCATTAAGAATGTGAAGAATTCTCTCAGAATCAAGTATTGAGTATTTAATCCCTCTGACTTTATGTATATTGGTATTACAAAGTGTAGAGTTGTCTCCAAATTGGTCAGTTTGCCTAGCTGTGCTGTTCTAACGTAACAGATACTTGGTTTGAGTTCTTCCTATTTACAATAAAGAGTTTTCCTTTTAAAAACTTTATGACTTATACCTTAGCTCTTCTACTACGAAAGTCTGGCTTTGTCACCCTTAGCAACTGAAGTCAAACAGTAAAAATAATATCGAACTATTGAAATCAAAATCTCTGCTTTCATTGCTGATAATCATTTCTGTAATTCTAAGGGCTTTCCTGAGTTTTGACCGTATGGATGTAGACCACTCATTCAACAGTGAGTTGAGATCAGCCTCAGTCTTTCCGATAAGTTGGAGCAAGGGAAAAATTATTTGCATAAATCATTTAGTAAACCATTCTACTGTGGTGATGTCCACATGACAAATAACTTTTTTCTAGGTTTTGCAATGGAACGAATATGGTTACTGCTGCTTCTAACAATTAGAGTGCTTCCGGGGTCTGCTCAGTTCAATAGCTACAACTGTGATGCCAACCTTCACAGTAGATTTCCTGGTAAGTCTGAACCTAATCACTTCTCTAATTGCTACTGAAAAGAGTGATTATGTTTCAATAGTAAATCATTTAAATAATATGGAAAATGGGGTCTATCCCTTTACATTAAGTGGATATTAACAAATGGAAAACGGCAAAAGACATTTTTCTGGAGTTGTAATTTATATTCACATTAATATACAAAGTGTTCATCATAGTTAATATTATTATAATGACTGCTCACAGATGTGAAAACATTGGCTAGTGGGAAGTGAAATTGGGAGAGACTAATTTCATTCAAAATTTGCCCAATTGATGCCTTTTTTTTCCTCATAAGTTAATTCAGACGTCTAAAAACTACCCTTATATGTTGATAGATTTATTTAGAAATAATGCTTAAGAAAATGACTGTGGATTATGCCATACTAAAAGAAAAAAATACTATTTCAATGAAATTTTGGTCACCACCAAAGTACACAGGTCAGCTTGAGAATGAATTTTACAAAAACCCATCAATATTGTGACAGACATGAGATTTTGACCATATTGATGGCATGTCCCACAGGTTTCTAAAATCTGCACTCACTGAGAAGGTGCTCAACATTTCTTTTAAGTGTTAACCATTTTATGTTAGCTAAAGTTATAGAACTACATTTTGACATTTACAAAATGAATATTAGATAATCTGAAACTACTTTTCCAAATCTGCCATGCAAACTGACTACGTTTGGCCATGTTTTACATTCTTTAAACCTGCTAGTACTCCTGTGTTTGGAGTATTTCAGGACAACAGCACACCTGTGTAGAGCAATCAGTAAGTAGTTACATAGATGAAGTGAGATCTCTACATCAGAACAAAGACCGCAGGGTGTCTGAATATCTTTGTGAACCCAGATCTAGCATTCAAGTGCTTGGGATGTTAAGTACAGTGGCAATGGTGGGGAATTCCCAGAGGTAAATCTAGAAAGGTATGCTATGGCAGGATTGTTAATGGTTTTGAATAGCACAAATGATTTTTTACATTTTTATTATGAAAAATGTCAAATATACAAAAGTAGAGATTAATAAAAAGAGTACTCATACTGATCATCCAGCATTATCATTAACAACATTTATAAATTTTGTTTCATCTCTCTGTTCTTATCTCTCCCATCTCTGGAATATTTTAAAATAAAATTCATGCTTAGGTATTTGTAGGTAATGGAAGCAAACTTAAAAATTAATTATACTTCATGTAAACATCCACTAAACTTAATAATTTCTTAATATCATCTGATACTCAGTTAAATTGCCTCTAAAATCTCCACATGGTACATTTGTTGTGTCTCTGAGTCTATTTTCATTTATAGCAGTTCACCTCTGTCTTTTGCCTTTTAAAAATGCTGTTTATCTTTTGATACAATTTGGTCATTTGTCTGTAGAATTCTGACACTCTGGATTTGGCTGAGGTGTCTTTTAGTATGTTCTTCTTTCCTGTATGTCCTGTACACCAATTAGAGCTAGAGGTTTGAGGAAATTCAGATTCAAATTGATTTGGCGAGAATGCATTATATGTTATGTTGTGTAATAAGAGCATTTTGTAGCAATGAAGAACCATTGAGTCTTTTTAAACACACCTTTTAAACGTTCGATGTGGTCACATCTTGTTTTAGACAGCAGACATCAGAAAAAGTATGAAAGACGGAATCAAGTTAGAAGAGAGTAGAGGCAGGGAGGAAGCATCACGAAGGAGTGGCAGTGGGGGGGGATAGAAGGAGACAACTAGTAAGAGATATTTTTGTGATGGACTCAGCAGACCTTGAGAACGGGTTAGACTTAGGAAATCATAGAAAGAGAAGACTAGAGAATGGTTTGAACTTGGACAACTTGATGCTGACAGTGTTAATCGACACCAAAATATAGGACACTTGCATGTTTTAGAAAGGAAGTTTGGGTTTGGAACTTATGGTTTGAGGCATTTTTAGAAAGTACAGTGGCAGGAACAGTAGGAAATATGGAGGTGGGTCTGAGAAGAGGGATCAAAACCAAAGATAGCTACATGAGAGCTGAATCTCTGTGTAGTGAGTGAGCAATGAACAGGGGATAGGAAAATGAAAGGTATGAACATAGAGTATTATTTAGATAACTTTTGTGATGAAGGAAAGAGAGGAGAAACCTGAGCTGGAAATTGAAATGAGAAAAGGGGTTTTCTAGACTTAGAGAGGCCTGAGCATATACGAGTAAAGGAAACTATTATCAGAAATTGGAAATATTAAAAAAAAATTGATGTAATTAGGAAAGAAAATATGAAATGAAGAAAGAAAATTTGAAAGAGATCAATGGTATAGATGGACGAGTTAATGTTGAAAAAGCTGTAGCTGTTTCTTTGCTTAGAAGAGAAGGAGAGATAAAGACAGGTGGAGCAGGTGGGAGATGCTGTGTCCACCCCCTCGGTGGAGTGGGAGGCAGGCCCTCCTGAGAGTGAGGGGCCGGAGGTCTGGCCGGGGGCCTGGCATGGGTGGTCAGGCCGTGACCCTGTTATGGATAGATAAGACGGCCAAGTTGTAAAAAGATTGCTCAGCAGAAGGGGTATGGCTGATGTGGTAGTTATTTTACTTATAAAGGAAAATAAAACATGCTAATGAACCAGGAAGTGACTAGGACAGCAAAAGGAAGTATTTATCACATGGTAAATTAAAAAAATTATGTTAAGAAATCCATTTACACTAGCATCTACTGACCACCTGCATCAACATCGCCTGGGATAGCTGTTAAAAGCCCGAACTCCCCTGCTTTACCCCAAATATGTACTGTCAGAATCTCTGAACATAGTGTTGGGAATCTGTATTTTAAACCCTACAGATGAGTCTAAAGTACATTTATGGTTAAGAACAACTGATAGTGTACAATATTATTTTCTTGAGTCTATTATTCCAATTAAAATGCAATCAAGTGTTGGGGAAATATAATTAAAAACAACACTCTCTCAATTCAGAAATCCTTTCCACCAAGGTAGTAGAGAAAGAAAACACTTTTATCACCGAATAAGCATTAAACCAGAATGTTATACACATAACGAGTAATCACTAAGAGATTGCAAAGATAGACAGAAATCTTACTCTTTTATATAGCCAAGCAGATATGACCCATTACACACACGGTTTTGAGATAAACAATAACTAGTCCTCAAGTAAGAGGACTTGACAGCACCATTTGTCACGCGTAGTTCATTGTAACTTTACCTGGTAAGTAGGGCGAACATCTATATTAGTTTATTGGCTTTATCCAGAGAAAAAAAATTAACTTTTCATGTCTTTATGACAGGAGGTAGTTTCAATCAGGAGGGAGGCTCACATCAAAGTTAGGTTCCTACCCTCCCGCAGAAACCGGGAAACAGGAGTATTGTCTGTCTTGATGTTTACATTTCGGAGAGATGGTTCCCGGGTTCTTGAGAAAGACATTCCTAACAAAGCTTATGAAAGTCTTACCTAGTTTTCAAATGCATTTCTATACATTTCAAAGAGAGCAGAAAGTACTTACAATTTCAAGGTTTCTAAAGTAAATTCTCTAAGAAAAGGGAGGGAGAAAAAGTCTCTTCTCTTATTTTCAACATAGAAAATTAAGCTTCTTATTTTTAATTTGTTTTCCTTACACAAGTTAGCACTTTTAGTATTGTCTGGCTTAGGCAATGAATATCCATACTTTTCAAATGTACATGCAGATATACATGAACACACCCATATCCTTAAAATTTTAAACTTGTGTTTAAAAACAAGCAAATCCATGTAAAGCAGAAGTCTCAGGAGAGGCTTTAAGTTTATATGGGTATTATTTAATACCCATTTTTTTTTGCAGGTTGTTTGTACACCAGAATGAGCAGATAAAGCCTAAAGATTAATTGCTTACTGCCCTCTTGACTTTTGGCTTCTTCCACATCAGGGTCACCACTGATGTCATCAGGAGCTTCACAAGCTGGTCAGACCCTAAGCAATAGGGTTGAATAAGAATGAGTCTGTCAAAGGAGAGGGGCTATCTAAATGCAAAGCAATGTTAATAATGATGGGAGTAATGATCTCACCCTGTCTGACCTTTGCTGTTTCATGACATTAGAACTATTTTCTTTAATTTCCATGGCATTTATTTTTGGGCCAAGAGAACTACCATGGCCTCATTCATTTAAATTTAAAGAGATACCATTTCATTTTAGAGGTAGTTAACTCTTGGCTCTCCAAGATAATGGCAAGGAGCAGACTCATGAACCACTGATATTATAGCTGTGATCTCCCCAGAATAACACTCAAAACACAGTTGACTCTTAGAGTACTGAGGAATGATTTGGTGAGAGTGAAACATACAGATAAATGCACTTGGCCTCTGTGACTGATGGACATCTTCTGGAATTAGCTTGTTTTTTGGATGGGAGTAGTAGTATATGAAGGGTAAGCTAAACTTTCTGGCCTCTAAAGAAGACTTTAATGATAAAGGCACAATCAAGGAAAGAAATGGGCTTATGGAACCAAAAGTTTCATGGCTTGACAATGTATTATGGTGAACAAAGCAGTCATGGAAAAGTGGATGTAAGCCAGTGTTTCATAATTTGTCATTTGATATTCTTTTAAAAATAACACTAGTAAGGAAGGAAATGATAGGTTCCATGTACTGAGTGCTAGGCACATTGCAGAATTCTTTCTTCAATTTTTACAATAAACCTACAAAATCTTTTTAATCTTCTCTTTAAATTGGAGAAACTGAGGATTAGAACTTGTCTAATCTTGCAAGGCTAGCAATTGACAGAAATATAAAACTAGGACTCTATCCATCAAAAAGTGATGTCTAAAAATGAACTTTGAATAGTAAGTTTAAAAAATGAAGTAGAGGGCCGGCCCCGTGGTGCACTCAGGAGAGTGCAGTGCTTGGGAGCACAGCGGCGCTCCCGCCGCAGGTTTGGATCCTATATAAGGATGGCCGGTGCGCTCACTGGCTGAGCACGGTGTGGGTGACACCACGCCAAGGGTTGCAATCCCCTTACCAGTCACAAAAAG